GGCCTACTAGATCAAGATTTCAAAAAAGGAGTGATCAAAGTACTGCTAAAGAACTAAAAGAAATAGTGTTTAGAGATATAAAATATGTCAAAAATGAAATAGAAGCTATAAAGAAGAACCAAGTAGAATTAGTAAACTCATTTGCTGAGATGAGAGCTGACCTAAAAGCTGTACAAAGCAGGCTAGATAATGCAGAGGAATGAATAAGTGACCTAGAAGACAGGACAACAGAAGGCACCCAATCAGAACAGCTGAGAGAAAAACAAATAAAAAGCAATGAAGACAATATAAGGGACCCAAGGGATATAAAGCGTGCCAATCTACGCATAATAGGGGTTCCAGAAGGGGAAGAAAGAACAAAGGGGACTCAAAAGGTATTTGAAGAAATCATGACTGAAAACTTCCCAAACCTAAAGAAGGAATCAGATATCCAAGTACAGGATGCTCAGAGGGTCCCAAACAGGAAGAACCCAAACAGACCCACACCAAGACATATCATAATCAAGAAGGCCAGAGTCAAGGATAAAGAATTGATTCTAAATGCAGCAAGAGAAAAAACAAAGGGTGATTTACAAGGGAACCCCCATAAGGCTTTCAGCTGATTTCTCTACCAAACACTACAGGCCAGGAGGGAGTGGCAACATATTCAAAGTGCTGAATGAAAAAAAGATGCAGCCTAGGATACTCTATCCAGCAAGGCTTTCCTTTAGAATAGAAGGAGAGAAAGAACTTCACAGACAAGCAAAAACTAAAAGAGTTTAGCAACACTAAACCCATGCTAAAAGAAATATTGACAGGTCTACTCTAAATAGGAAAGAAGCAGGATGCTACAAAAATGAGAAACATATAACTGGAAAGGTGGTAACTACCATGAATTCCAAATAGGATAAACACAAAATTGTAAAAGAAGACATCTAAATCATTAAGAGTGGGAGAGGGAAGCAAGGAAAGCCACTGTGGAAAACAGTATGGAGATTCCTCAAAAGACTAGGAATAGACATAACCATATGACCCAGGAATCCTGCTCCTGGGCATATATCCAGAAGGAACCCTACTCCAAAATGACACCTGCACCCCAATGTTCATAGCAGCACTATTTACGATAGCCAAGACATGGAAACAGCCTAAATGTCCATCAACAGATGACTGGATAAAGAAGTGGTATATTTATACAATGGAATACTATTCAGCCACAAAAATTGACAACATAATGCCATTTGCAGCAACATGGATGTTCCCGGAGAATGTCATTCTAAGTGAAGTAAGCCAGAAAGAGAAAGAAAAATACCATATGTGATCACTCATATGTGGAATCTAAAAAACAAAAACAAAAACAAAAACATAAATACAAAACAGAAAAAGACTCATAGACATAGAATACAAACTTGTGGTTGCCAAGGGGGCAGGTAGTGGGAAGGGATAGACTGGGATTTTAAAATGTAGAATACATAAACGAGATTATATTGGATAGCACAGGGAAATATATACAAGATCTTGTGGTAGCTCACAGCAAAAAAAAAGTGACAATGAATATATGTATGTTCATGTATAACTGAAAATTTGTGCTCTACACTGGAATTTGACACAGCATTGTAAAATGACTATTACTCAATAAAAAAATGTTTTAAAAAAAGGACTTCTTGGGAAATTCATGATGGAATATCAGTGCATTTATGATGATTTCAAAGTCCTTATTCACTCCTTCATTTAGAAATATCTGGTTCCTTGTGCCATACACTGTACTAATACCGCACTGGGGTAGGGGATGTGGAGATAAGACGTAGCTCTTGCTTTCCTGCATTCTACACACAGAAGTTGTAGTAGTCATATTTACAGAAGTTATTTGAACTAGATCTGGTTATTTTTGTCTCATTTATAACAGACTCTTGAAGTCTGGAAAATAGTTAAGCTAAAGCCTCTTTTGGATAAATTTAAGGCAGTCGCTGAAGTCTGTTCCTTAACAGCCTTTGCAATCACCCTCACCTGCAGCCTTCCTGAAGCTATGGTGCATCCTAATTTAACCCGGATGAGTCAACTTGTTAATCCTGAGAAATTTCAACCATTTTCTTGGCTTTCTTATTTGAGGGCTAAATCTGAGAAATGCAGCAAGAGAGACTATACAAGTCTACCATCTCCAGGCCAGATAAAGCTGTCCTTGAGCTCTAGAGTGAATACAAGTAAAGCTCCGGCTGGGACTGTCAGTCAGCCAACCCGAATGCATCCACACCTGATCTCCCCCATCTCCTCTTCTAGCTTTCATTCCAGAATTTACTTTTTCACTTTCCATTTATTACCCTACCCACGTCAAAATCTACCGTCCTTTAATGTTCCGACCATTTTGTTAAAACTTCTCTTGTCAAATCCAGTTTTCAGTCCCATTCGCTTCGGTCACCCTGTACTACATCGGCCCCCTGAGGAGCACTGCACCTTGCATGTTACTCCTCTTTTGGCTTCCTTGATGCTCTACTGCATTCTCCTATCTCTGATCAGTTCCCCTCAGTCTCCACAACCTTTTAAATAAAGGCATTTCCACAGGCTTCTGTTAGGTATTTTCTTCTTATCTACGAACGTTCTCATCAGTCCCAGGCTCCAACCATCATCTTGCTGCAGCTAACTCCTGAAAATTTTATCTGCCAAGGGGCTATCTGGGTATCTTCCAGGTTCAGATACTTTTTTTTCCTGGCCTAGATTATTGCAATTTCTCTCCTCTCTTTCACCTTTTTCCCTCCTGAATAGGGCATTCACTATCCTGTGACTCTCAAATATCTTTAATGACTCCATGTTGCTGTAAGAAAAAAGTTCAAACTCCTCACTATGACATTTTCAATTCTCACTTCCCGCTCTCTTCTCTCTCTGCACATGTACCATATACAAGTTTTATGCTTTAGTCATATCTTTGCACCAATTAACCTAGTATATTTCACATATCTTGCATTTATTCCTGTTGACAATTGACCTGCATCTAAGCACCCTTCTTCTCCATCCTGATTTGTCCAAATCTCATCTTTTAAGCTCAAGGATTATATCCTCATTAAAAATAGTTAAAGAGCCAATCACTCCTCTAAATTCATATAGTACATTATTTCTCTACTGGGTAAATACTATGTTATGTCCTGAGCTTGTTTTTTCTGCAAACATTTGTCTTTCCTACTGGACAGAAAGCATTTTTATGGGTAGGGACTTCAGTTTTACTTTGTACCCTCCCCAACCCCCAACACAATGCTTGTTCAAAATCGGAGCTCAATCTGTGCAAGTAAGCAGGCTAGGCATTCAGTACCCCCAGTGTCCAGTGCTTATTAACACTCAGTAAAAATATGTCTAATTGATAATTGAATGGATGGGTAGATGAACAAATGAATTTTGGTTCTCAATTATCTTAAATAAGCTTTGGCTAGGCCAGGCTTCTTAGACAATTTCAGTTCAAATTTATCTTTCCCTCCTCTTTTTTCCCAATTATAAAAAACTTTTTAACTATTATGATATTTCTAACATAATTCTAATCTCCTGTCTATGGGTCACCTATTCCAAATTCAATATACTGTGATATAGTAAAGCATTTGAATACTTTTTGGAAATGTTATGATTTGTACTTCAAGTTTGTTAAAATTTTGAAGGGGACCAACGAATGACTAATACAGCCAGGAATACAAACAGGGTCAACGAAGGACTAAAGGCAATAGAAAAAATATATACCTTATTTCCTCCCCAACTCTCAAATTTTAATATATATATAAAGAAACAATAGAGAGCACCATTGATAAAAGTGAGAACATACTGTCTTTTCAAAAGAGAAAGGGAATACGAAAGCACACAGAAGAACTGTGAGCCCAGAAGAATTACCAGGAACTAGCATAGTAGATGTGAGTTCTGGAGTTTCCAAGAAATCCACGTTGCTTCTTTGGAATGTCTTGCTGTAATTCGTCTGAAGGTGGCTGTGTAAATAAATAGAGGTGAAGTCTTTACAATTTTTTGCAATCTTCTTAAGTAGAGTGTAATAAAGTTCAAATTCAGTCAAGGTGGCAGGGTTTTGGATTAAGTGCCTGAATAAAGGCTTCTTTTCATGGTTATTTCGCCTTAGAAAAGACTCAGGAGTAATTTAACAACTGTCATCATAAATTTTTTTATGAAGTTTTTTAAAATAGAGCATTAATTCTCTACAGAAGATAAAAACAAAAGGAGATAATTACAATTGCAGAAAAAGTTTAAACAGAAGAATATCTTGGCCTGACTGCCAGGATGTTTGAAGAATAGGACAGCTAAGAAGAGGAACTCTAGATTTTCCATCACTAGAGAATAAAAAGAAAAAAAAATCATCTAAAATACAGGCCTGGAAGGACAAAGTAAATTTCCTTTAAAGATCCCTTTTGTGCCTGAAATACTATTGGTGTCATTATGCATTATAGCAAAAGCACTTAAAATAGCCACAGAAATAAAACTTTTAGATGAAATATGTGTCAACTAAATTCCCAGGTATTAGTTCCATTACCATAATTTAACACCCAGAATTTGGACTTACTGGAGATCTATGTTCTCTGTGCCATTTAAAGCCAACTAGAACTATTCATAGAATCTCAGAATAGCAAATAGTTCCTTCATCCTATTTTTCTACTTACACATTTGTTACTAGTGATTATTTTAATTTCAAAGAAGTTGATTTTTTAAAATTTTATCAAGGAACAATTGACAAATATATATATATATATATATATATATATATATATATTAAACATATATATGTATGTTAAAAGTAGAGTGATGGCAAGAGAAATTGATTTTTTTAATCTTTTCCAAACAATGTCTTGTTTCCCTTTTATTTGCAGTAAAGACATTTCAAAAAGCTGCTAAGCGGTGATGATCTTAACCATTATATATAGTGTTATTGTAAAATAAAAACCACAGAGCTTATGAAAAATTAGGAAGTAAAAATTTTCCATCCTTCCTTTTCTGCATCCTTTGTCTCCCACTCCTGCACACTTTAGACACTTGTGATCTGTATCTAAATCTGTTTGCCTGAAACCATATGGTTAACACTTAAAGTGGGATCATTATCAAAAGTGTTTGTGCTTCAGAAGGAAACTGATTTCTAATCCATGAAGACTGGGAGTTAGGAAAATGAGCAAATGGGACAGTGTTTAAGGTGAGATAAACGGAATGGAGTTTTTTCTACACATCCTAAAATTATATCATGTATATTGCTACCTCCCTGGCTAAAAGAAAAAGGAAAAAAAGCTGTTCATAACTTACCTATTCCACACACTACTATTCTCCCAGAACTCATAAATCATGTAGCGAGATTCATTTGAAAGCTTCTGTATAGAAATACTGAAATGGAAAACAAAAGGCAAAATTAGCCACGGGAAATGAAATACAAGAAGTAAATGAATATTTCTAATAGTCTCTATTGTGGTTTGAAATAATCTTCTTCATTAGTATAGGAAAAACATATGGTTCCTGCATGAAAACCAACGTTTTGTCAAGAATTGATTAGTATGTCTGGTTTGGTATCATAAAGATTGTATCAGTATTATAAATATCACAAAAATAACTTATAAAAAATTCATTCATATATCCTTTCATTCAAGAAGATGTGTTGAGTTCTGTTTTTGCCGGAGTTCAGAGAAATGTGAGTGCATGCCACCTTCTTTGCCCTCAAACGTAGCTCTTTGGATCAGTCCCATCAACCTCCAAGGGTCTTGAGAAATTCTTGCCCTTACCCTCTACCTCTGGATTGACAGCTTTTGTTTGGGGTCCTGCTGCAAGCTGTTCGAGTCACCTGGACCACACGGCTGCTGAACATCTAACTCCTGGTTTGCCAGTGCCCAATGTTGGTCCTTCTTTCTCTTTTAACACTCATACCTCTCAACTCTCTCTGTGTCCAGATCAAGTCTCAGTCCATATTCTGGCCACAGTTTTTTTTTTAATTGCTTTTCCAATTTAGGGAAAGACAAATTTTTTCCTTCCAGCCTTTTAGACTAGCCTGACAGTGGCTATGTTTTGGAGGAGTGAAGAGAGGGTGGATGGTTGAAAAGACAAGTTGAATTGAAGACTGGATTTAATCCCACAGCAATGAGGGGATACTAAGGGTGTTTAAAGCAGGGAGCATCTCATGGTTAAAGCTGGATTTTAAAAGAGCCCTCCGATGGCAGTGTCAGTAGCCTATGGAGAACAGTTATACAAACAGGAAGAAAAGCTGGAAAGGTAGTGAAATTAGCTTCGGTGAGAGATGACGAAGCTCCAACTCAAGGTCAAAAGAAAGGAAGAGTGGATGGACTCATACACTTAAGGGAAGAGTAAGAGACAAATATAAAGATGCCTTTAAAAAATTAATTCCACAAGTCCAGTTTGTTCACCTAATGTTTCACAATATATTTAGATTACAGATCAAAGTGGAAAGTTAGAAAAACAGTATGGGTATTGATTTAATAGAGAGAAAAGAACATACCAGTGAAACAGCCAAGTTCAGTGCAGATTTAGGATTTACCTAAGTGTGACCAGCAGGTGGTGGTAGCTACACAGAAGTGTTCATACTTATTTTTTCTTTAGCTCTTTGCCTGTAAAGAGTTTGGTGTTTTTCATCAAGCTTAGGTCAATTAAGGTGTGATGGAGCAAATACTGTTACTAGCCAATTTCAGATTTTCTGGGGGAAGGGTTTATACCATAATCAAAGGAATTTAATATAAAGTGAAATCAGAAAATTTCTAATCCCAGGAGTTCATAGATGGGCTTTGCCTGGGGGCGGGGGGGGGGGAGTGTTCTTTGAAATCCCAGAAATGAGCAGCAAGTCAGTGTGCATAGGTACCTTTTCCTGGGAAGAAGAGTCTGCAGTCCCCATCACAGTCTTAAAGGATCTGTAATCTCTAAGTGCAATCTGACAATGTAATGGACAAATTTCAGCCCATGACTTTTTTTTTTTTTTTAGAATAAAGTTTAAAACACTCAGCCTAGCATTTCCAGCTCTTTATGAACTGCCTCCTACAAACTAATTCATTTGTATTACTTATTACATTAAAAAAAAATCTCTTATCCTGCTATCTCAACCTTCCTTTTCCAGACTAGCCACAAGAAATTCACAAAAGTTTAGCCTGATGCTCAAGTTCTGAAGGACCGACGAAGCTTATCACAGTGATAAGGTGGTGGTTTGGTATGGCTACACAGACCTGCCTTCATCCACCACGCATTAGAGCTTTGTCACCTTGGACCCACTGCCTAACCTTTTTCCTCACCTATAAAAAAGGCGATAATAATAGTACTAGGAGGATTAACTAAGATATTACATGTAGGATGCTTTGCCCAATACTTGGTATTGTGTGTGTGTTTAGCTGTTGACTTAATAGCAAAAAAGAAAGCAGCACTTCCATTGGGTAAGTAGTTATGAGAGCTAAGCCTTAATGGTGTCAAAGTGGAGAAGCATGAAAGAAATAAAAGGAGCAGAAGGAGAAAGAAACGGAGGGAAAAAGACGTATCTTTGAAAACAAAGAGAAGCAGCAAGCTGATAGTAATTATGATAACCATTATTACATTCATTTACATCCTAATAACAATGGTGATGGTTGCTAAGATGAATTGCTCTGTTCCAGGCCCTGGTCGAAACATCTCCCATGGAGTAAGTCATTTTACCTTCCTCTGGGGGTCACATGGCAGATACTGTCTGTTGCCTCCCTCTTTCTCACTGAACCCCGCCATTGTTCAGTTTGCAATATACCCTATGTACCAACCAGTGCTGGGCTAAGACGGTCCTCACAACCTCCTCTCTGCTGGATGTCTATTTCCTAACCCTCCCTGGTGCCGGGAAAGGCCATGTGACTTGAGTTGGGCCAATGAAATGCCCAGGGAAGTGTGCTGAGAAGCAAGGACCTCTGGGAACCTTTGCATCCTTAGGCTCAGACGTGAGAGGATGGCTTGTTGGGGGTGCCCCTTTCTCCTCCTCCCTGACTGTAGGCTGCCTGTGAAGAGCCAAGTGGCAGAGTTGAAAGAAAGACCAGTGCAGATTTTGACTCAGGGCTGTGGGTGAAAATGCTAACCAGAATTGCTCTCCAGCCAGGGTGCTTTCAATTAAGGGCAAACCCGACCAATACACAGCAGTGACATTTCAGGACACTGCTATTTGAGACTGTGCACTACAGATAATAATACATATGCAATGATTACACTGAGACAGTGAGAAAAGGTGACGAAATTTTTAGAAATTTCAGTCACTAGTATTTCCGTTAAAAAGGCTTAGGACTTGAATGATTGGCCTTCAATTATTTACAAGCTTAGAAATACATAGACCCACCTCTGGGCTGTTGCTGTGTGACTCTACAAACCTTAAACGCCCTTGGTCCTCCTCCTCAGTGTATTCACACTTCCTGCGGCACTCAGAACTCATGGCTAAAGCAAGACGTCGTAGAACTTCTTTGGCTGAGCCATCCCGGGATACAGTCACTAAAAGCTTCAGCCCTGAGCTCCAGGAGACCTTCAGCATTCCCAGGAGCTGGGAAGTGTCAGTGAAACAGCTTCCTGGGGACAAGGATGTGGTTCCCGAACAGCTGGGGTTGAAGATCTTACCTAAAGCCACCTGGCTTACCAGGGAAAGGACCCCTCTTCCTCTTGGCTTCCTCTGTTCCCCACGCGTCCTGCCTTAGCTCACAGAGCCTAAACCCCGGCGTAAAAGGCACAGCAGAAGGGACAGTCCCCACACTTCTCCACCAAGCTCCAGCTACTCGTTTGTTTAATCCATATAAAAATGCTGATAAATTAATGGTTCAGTGTGCCACAGGGTACCGTTACTTCTTAAGAGTATTTCTTTGGCCAACGTACAACTCCCAGGGTTGATTCTTACAATGTGATTCCACATTCATGTTCCGTCGGCCCTGGACATGGAGGTTAGAACACGTACAAATTCTAGAATTTGGTAGCTGAGAGTGATTCCGAAAGCATTTTATTCTACTTAACAGCTGAGAACTTTTGGGTCGAGAACATGGCTGTAATTGCTCATGAATGAGTATCCGACTTTCCCAACTGGATTCTAAGATCCTTAGAAGAAGAAACCATTCTCATCTTCTCTGGAGTCAAGCATGTTCTGAGAATACACTGTGTACATCACATATACTCAGTAGGCACCTCCCCATGCCAAACACAGGGATTAATAAGCCTTCATGACTACAAAATGTGCAAAAAGGGTAATCAAACAATGTGTGTGTGTATGTGTGCATGCGTGCTGCACATGCGTCACACAATTGCGCTGCTTGGGTTTTTCACTAACATCTCATTTCAAAATTCAGCCGACTGACTGACAAAAGCCCCGTCAGCCCCCCAAACCCCCGAGTCGAGTCTCCTAGTCAAATACCTGGAAGGCCCAAGCCTCACTAATTCAGTGGCCTGAATTTAAGAAAGTAAGGTTTTGTCATTGGAACAGAAGGGATCTTGGGATCTTGTCTATTCTTCACGTGGGTAACCACAGAAAGCCCAGGGAACTCTGATTCACGGATGACTGAATGTGGGCAAGAAAGATTAACTGTGGGTTCTGGAGTCAGACAAACTCGGGCTAGGTGTTTAACCCGTCTGAGCCTATTCCCCCCTGAGCTAGATGGAATACACATCTCAGGCGACTGCGGTGAAGACTCAACGAGAAAATGAATTCAGAATGCCTAATCTCATAAATCCTCAATCTCTACTTTATTTTATGGCAGCATTTCCTCTCAATGATGAGGCTGAGCCAAACACTGTGGGAGAAGGAGAAACTGCAAAACTCTGGTAATTCATAGACCTTTGTTTTATCAGGCAAGCCTCTGGCAATCAGGCTGAGTGCATTAGAGCCTGACGGAGGGCAGGAGTGGCCCATTTTAGGGTTCATGAATTAACGCAGATAGAAAATTGTATTTGATTAACTGGTACAACTGAATTTAGACAGACACACTGGCGTGACATGTATTCCACAGTTTTCCATTTGTGTGTGGTGATTCTCTGATGCTTATTTCATCTGATAAAGTCTACTTTTTGATAATTTTAGTGAAAGAAAGCTGAGAAGATCAGCAATAAGAAGTGAGTGGAGAGCTGTTAAGAAACAAACCAGTCTTGCAAAAGGAAAAGGAGAGTCTTAGAGTCTCGATTTATCTTAACAGGAAAAGGATGCTCTCCTTCCCTCTACTTCACTGCTGAGGCTGAGGCTGAGGAAGCAGTTTTTCACGCTCACTGGGAGAACAGACTTCGCAGCAGGCGACACACGCCTCCCTCCTCTCTCTCCCACAGCCCATTTCCCTCACCCTGGGCACTCTTCGTTGCCTTAGGTCATTTTCCCAAACACACATTAAAGCGGTGTTTCTGAACCTTAAAAAAGTAATCAAACCTTGTATCATTTTTGTAAGTGTAAAATATCTACTGTGTCCCTGGAAACTGATGCACCAAACCGGACTTTATTTTCTTTCTAGCTTCACTAACCAAAAAAGAGTTTACTGAGCTCTGCTTTCCGCAGTTTCCACTGTGGACCGTGTGTAGATAGAAGTTCTTTTCTTGCATTTCCCCAAAACTCCATTTTATTTTTAAATGAGTAGGCTTTTTAAAACTACATATACTCTCACTTTGGCAGATCACTTTTAAATCACTGAAATGAAAGGACTAAAATGGGGTTTTGATTTGTGCCCTTCTGAGCCGGTTGTGAAGTACAGTTGCAACAACAAAAACTAGTCCCAGTTACAAAGGTGCTCCTGGGAAGACGGTGAGCTGGATGACCTTCACGGCGCCCAGCAAGCCCTCTTCTGCTCCAGAAAGGTGTTCAGCCAGCCAGACGACGCAGGAGCAGCAGTGAGCGCAGCGGTAACCCCAGCTCACGCTCCCTGGCCCCGCATGGATGGGAGGCACTCTGCTGAGCACCCAGTTGACCCTCACGACCACTTTATGAAGAAACTGAGGCTTAGAGCCAGTAAGGATCTTTCCCCAAATCACAAAGTTAGTATGACCCCATTTTTTTTAATTGAGTTAGTTAGTTTACATGTTGCGTCAATTTCTCGTATACAGCACGCTTCAGTCATACATGAATATACATATATTCATTTTCATATTCTTTTCCACCATGAGCTACTTCAAGATACTAAATATGTTTCTCTGTTATACAGTATAAACTTGTTTATTTTATATATACCTGTCAGTATCTGCAAATCTCGAACTTCCAGTTTATCCCTTCCCATCCTTCTCTCCCCTGGCAACCACAAGTCTGTATTCTATGTCTGTGAGTCTGTTTCTATTTCATATGTAAGTTCATTTGTCTTTTATTTTTTTAAGATTCCACATATGAGTGATATAATATATTTTTCTTTCCCTTTCTGGCTTACTTCACTTAGAATGACATTCTTCAGGGACATCCATGTTGCTGCAAATGGCATTATGTTGTCATTTTTATGGCTGAGTAGTATTCCATTATAGAAATATACCACAATTTCTTTATCCAGTCATCTGTTGATGGACATTTAGGCTGTTTCCATGTCTTGGCTATTGTAAATACTGCTCCTATGAACATCAGGGTGCAGGTGTCATTTTGAAGTTGGGTTTCTTCTCAATATAAGCCCAGGAGTGAATCTGGGTCATATGATAAGTCTACTTTTTAGCTTTTGAGGACTCTCCATACTGTTTTCCACAGTAGCTGCACCAAACTGCATTCCCACCAATAGTGTAGGAGGGTTCCCTTTTCTCCACAGCCTCTCCAGCATTTACCATTTGTGGACTTTTGAATGATAGCCCGTCTGACTGGTGTGAGATGATACCTCATTGTAGTTTTTATTTGCATTTCTCTGATAATTAGTGATATTGAGCATGTTTTCATGTGCCCACTGGCTATTTGTATGTCTTCATTGGAGAATTGCTTGTTTAGGTCTTCTGCCCATTTTTGGATTGGGTTGTTTGTTTTTTTCTTATTAAGTCATATGAGTTGTTTATATATGTATGATCCCATGTTTAATTCCAGAGCCAGACGTCTTACCTGGGGAAGTATTCTTCCCAGAGTGTGGATAAAATACAAGTAGTAAGTACTGGGAGGAACACCAAAGCACTCAGGGACAAAAAGCATGTGCTTCGGTGTGTACCCACATGCGTGCACAGGTGTGCTAAAAAGTTTTCCCAGAGCAACATTCTAAGAGCATTATGATATGCAATTTAACAAGCTCTCAAGGTGGGGGTGGAATGGGTTGTGGCAGTTTTCCAGGATCAGGTGACTTTTGGCTTTGGCCTTGAGGTAGAGCATGAGCTGGGAGAGGCCTGCAACTGGATACACACTTCTGGGAAGGAGTGTGGCCACATCTAAGGCACAGGGGTGAGAATTAATAGATTATGCTGGAAAGGCAACATGTAGCTGGGCACGGCTGAGGCCGAGGACTCAGGTGAGGGAGAACAAATGGTAGCGGTGCTGTGGATTTTGGAGGTCTCTTGGTGACACAACTGTAGGGTCAGGATAAACATCTAGCATTTGACTAGATACTCATTACATAGTTACTGCAGGTTTCTGATTAAGAGAATTCCAAGATAATTGTTTCTGAAAAATTATTCTAATGCTTGTTTATTGGACCACCTGGAGATGAGGAAGAGTTAGTGTATTTTAGCAGCCTGAGATAATAGAAGCCTGTGCTGGGGTGGCCACGGAGCCCCTAATGCTCACATCCACACAGAGCCCAAGGGTAAAAGAGAACACAGCCTGGTGAACTCTGCAGAGTGCATCATCACCCACAGGGCTGGAAGGACCCACACCACCCTCACCTAAGGCACAGGCGCACTTACCGCAAGCATCCGCTCTGGGAGGAAGCGCTCTCCACGTAGTGTTTCAGAGCAAGCTGGAACTCTTCCAAGTCCTCTTCTATCACAGACATCTGACGCTGGACCAGCATGATGTGCTGCAGAGCAAGGGCAGGGGTTTACTGCGCTGGCTGTCGGGGGGCCTCCCCAAACCGAGCCCCTGCTGCGCATCCCATCCCTCCTCGCAAATCCAACAATTCTCATCCAAAATATGACCAGAAGGCATGACTAGTCCAAGTGATAACACTGAATAAAAGCTGTAGTATAGACAGGATGCTTTCTTGCCTCTAATACAAATGCTAAATAAAGAAAGTGTCCTTCACAACAACGTGTCCCTTGTAAAAGCCATGGTTCTCCTTCAGAATCATGGGGCTTTTTAATTGCCTTTATAGTAGAATCTCTGAGAGTGAGTTCCAGGCCCTCATACTTATAAAAACGTCTCCAAATGACTCTAATGTGCAGCCAAGGTTGGGACTCACTGGCCTAGAGTCACTTACCAAATTTTAAGAAGTCCTACTGTACACAGAGCACAGCTCCAGCTTCTCCTTGGAGATTTTGTAATAGTAGACATGTTATAAATATCACTACAAACAACCAAATTTTTTAAATGATGTGTTCATTGATGCATTTCCGAAGGTACATTAACCATTGCAGGGGTCTCAAATATTAATCACCTCCAGTAAGTCCCACTCAAAATCTAATGGCATTAGATGGAGCCTGTGTTTAATGGATTACGTTGGGTTGGATGCCAACAAATGTTCCCACAGCTAATTACTAAGTGCTGGATTCTAAAATATAGTGATGCATTAAGATAGAATTCTTGCCCTCCTAGGTTTTAGTAAAGAAAATCAAGTCCTGAAGACTAAGTTTAAGGAGTAATTTTAGATATGGCCCATTAAACTTACTGTTTGTAAACTGGTCAGAATTCTACTAAAATTCTGACCAACTGTGTTGCCAAATAAATCTTGATCCTAGTCTTAAAATCCTTTGACTGTTTAAGCCTTAAATTAATACCTGGGCCCCCAACTCACATGACCAGGCAGCGGGCTGTGAACACTGCATAACCCCAGGAAGGGTGCTAATCCCAGTGGGCTCTTTCAGGTGTGGTCATGGAGGATGACAGACCAAGAAAACACTCTTAACAGAAGAAGAATGGACAACAGAGCTCCTCCCAGCATGGAGACCCAGTGTCTAATAATGGAACTTCCTTCACTGACAACTACTTACTTTCCCAGCATGAATTCATTGTTGAAACTAACCAGTGAATGCTGTGTATTTCCTATTCATCTGCTTTCTGAATGGCAGTGTTTATGGCATTTATCCTGACCGAGTTTTATCACTGTATATTTTATTTGTGTGGGCGCAGCAGGAAGAGTCTGACCTCAAGGGGCTACATCCTGACCTTGCAGAGAAGACCAGACATCATCCAGCGACCCTGGATACTGAGCTAGCAGCAGTCACTGGGAGAGAACTTGGGCTTCTCCCTTGTGAAGGGAGTGTGTTCTATATATGTGGAAAAAAAAGATACACATGAAAAATGAAAACAGGATGCAAAAAAAAAAAGGATGATCAGAAAGTAGCCTGTGGCAGAGACTAAAGGCTGCTCATCAAAAATCCATTTCTTTCTTCTCTCTAGGTGCACAGTTAGCCTGCATATTCCGTCATCCCTTGTAGGCAGACGTAGCCCACTAACGGGCTCTCACTGGTAGCACGTGAGCAGAAGTGCTGTGTACCACTTTTGAGCCAAGACTTGCAAGAAGACTTTGAGACCCCTCCCACAGCTCTCTTTCCCTTTTCTGTTAGTAGGATGAAGACCTGCCTCAGGAATGGCAGAGCCACAGATGGGAGAAGCCCGTGTCCCTGAATCACCATGTGGACTGTCTACTTGGGAAACTTTTATTGCATTGGAATCAGTCCACATCCTGGATCTATTTGTTTCCGTAGCCTAGGCACCTAAATGAGCTCAGTAATTTTAATCTGGCTTTACTTCCCTTCAGGATCAAGGATCAAAGTCTATAGCCACCTCCCAAGGTTGTGTAATGAACAGCCCCCTCTATCTAACGCTCCCAGAAGCTGGTTTTAATTTCAGTAATATCAGTAACTAAGAGTTAATCTCTACCAAAATAATTGCAGACATGTCCTTTTGACAAAAATCTGCAGGGACATCTTGATCGGGTGTTTGTGATAAACAGTGACTCACACGATGCTCACGAGCTTTCCTAATGAGATGTATAAATATACCCGCCTGCTCCACCATGACTATTTCAGTCTGAAGACAGTTCTCACGTGACCCAGTGAGGTAGGTTGTAAACATGACCAGAATCCTTCACCGCTTCCTGAACCCATGCCCTTTGAAATGTGACTTCTCAGTTATGCATCAAGACAAAGATTCTGCTTCCCCTTCCCTTGGATCTGGGATGGCCTTCTAACTTCCTTGGCCAACAGAATGACACTATGGTGGTTTCAGGTTTAGGCCCCAAGAGGCCTTGTGAATTTCCACTCTCTCTCCTGGATCCCTCAGACTGTCACGGGGTCAGCAAACATTTTTTTATGTAAAGGGCCAGATCACAATGATTTTAAGCTTTGAAGGCTACGTGGTTCCTACTCAACTCTTTTGTTTTATTGTGAGAGCAGCCACAGACAGTAAGTAAATAAATGGGTGTGGCTCTAGTCCAATGAACTTTATATATACAAACAGGCAGTGGGCAGTAGTTTTGCCAAACCCCATGCTGGAGGATTAAGGTCCCACAAACAAAGCAGAGTCAGTGGAAGCATCCTGTCGGAGGCCCTGGCCATGAGAGAAAGCCCAGCCAAGAACAGTGAAGCTGGCATACGGCTGATTACAGGTGCTCAAAGGGGGACGGGCTGAGACCGTGAGAGCCACCACGGTGATCTCACCCTGAACTGCCTACTTGTGAATTGAGATTCAAGCCACTCAGTTTGGGTGGTTTGCTATATAGATTCATTCACTCATATACATGGATGTGAATATGATTGGAAAAATTAAATCTACTTTGCAACTCAGACAAGGCATGTCTTTCTCTCTTTTCCTCAGACATTTATACAAAGAAATCAATTTATAAAGAGGCCCAGACAATCTCCCTACATTTTATGACTATCGTGACAGGTGAGCTTTTTTGAATCTTGGGTAATTTAAGGTAGACTTTCTGAGGTCCAAAGAAAACCCTAAATTTTGCTATGCTGGCCAGGCCAAGTTGTGGGATGCGGATATGGGAGAGGTGGAGAAGGAGTTCTAATGTCTTCATGATATGTCTACATGTTTCTTGTTTAAAATATACAGCCTTCAATCCTTACTGAAATCTGAGATCCTGTGGTGTGAACAACCAGCCCAGAACTCTCTTTCAGGCTGTATTTTTGTTTCTCTGCTTTAGAAGGGATTAGTGTTGTCTTTATAATTTACCTTGTAGAGATGTTGTTACAATGGAATTATGGTGTAATATTTGGCATCTTGGGGGCTGAAAAGTGCTATCTAATTACGAAAGGTTAATCTAGGTTTAGTGAATAGTGTTTGCCATGATATTAGGTTATAGTTGCATGTGCTTCTCATTTCTTGGGTATTTTTATTTTAAGGAAAAAACTGGAGACAAAGAGATGTTCTGAACACAAATAATTTGTTTTGTGTTATTCTGGCTCTATTACTACATTTACAGTTGTGTTCAAGCCTTCTTCAAAAACATCAGAATGTTGTGTGCTCTGCTGAATCTCTTAACAGCTATTGCAAAGCAAGACTGTGTTTTGAAAGTCTCTGACATATTAGTTGGCAATAGCCTCCAAACACATTAAAGTGCACAGCAGAACCGATTTACTCACAAAACATTACTCACAGTTTTGATGAGGATGGAGAAGCAAAAACAAAACAAAACAAAACAAAACCCAGATTTGTAAACTTCTATTGTATGATAAGTGCTTCTAGTGTTATGTAGGCAACAGTAATGTGCTCGAGAAAGGTTAGGGTCTTTGAAAAGAACCAGAATGTGATCAAACTTGGTTTAAAATTATATTGACTTGTGGTAGCTCACAGTGAAAGAGAATGTGACAATGAATGTATGTATGTTCATGTACAACTGAAAACTTGTGCTCTACACTGAAATTTGACACAACATTGTAAAATGACTATAACTCAGTAAAAAAAATGATACTGACTTTTTAAATAAAAACTCCTTTTGCATGTAGAAAATATCTGGAATGATCATTTTCCCCCCTGATAGTCATTTGAGAAGAAATACCACAAACAGCACACGATTACACCAGGCATAAAGGATCTGGGTTGATCAATACACCTGACCAGATAGATCCAGGATGTGTGTTCATCTGGCTGAAGAAACTCCCCTCAAAAATCATAGTAATCTTTCAGTGATTCATACCTGCTGCTTAGTACTTGACAGCTGGAAGATAATAAATTATCCCCAAAATTTCAATGAGTCATGAAGCCAAGGTCTTGGACTTTAGATGTAGGTTTATTCCTCATGTGCACTTATTCCCTGTTTTATTATAGCAAGAATAAAATAGTAAACTTCTAAGGTTGCTATCTGTGTGGCAGGCTGGGTACAAATCGTTTGGAGTATTTTAACATTCCTGTGGAGCATCTGCTATTCTTTCAGTGCAATGTGAGAACAGTTCAATGTTACACGAGATGTGTAAGTATTATTTACATACCTATTTATATACTTACTTTAAAAAAATTTAACCTTAAATATTACATCATTCTGGAAGTATTTTCTGGCCTCGGAAATCAGGCCGTGTTCTCTTGCTACGCAGATCTTTACCTTCCTGCAATAATCCTCATTACAGTTTATCGTAGAGCCTTAATTAACTGCCTGCATTTCCTTCTGGTCTGTCTTCTAGTCTGTAACAGTCACCAGTTTATCTCTACACCCTCCCTCAGGGCCCAGCACATAGTTGGTGATCAAGTTATTTGTGGAAGGAACAAGTACAGGATGCTTCTGCTTTTAGCCACTGACTACTCTTAAGATTCCTTTAATAAGTTTTATTTATACACTATCCATCCAGAAAAGGATTTCAGGTAGTCCTAAAAACTCTAGAGCACTGTTGGGTGCCCTTTAACCCATCTCCATCATCTTGCCCTCTTCTCTTTCTTCTCTCTCCTTTAAGAGCAAGAGGTATAAATGTGAAAGAACTTGCATCACTTTTACGAGCTATGAGGCCTTGAATAAGTTACTTAATCTTTCTCAAGTCTTCTGCTACATAAAACTGGAGCAGTGGGGCTTCTATCACAGAGCTTTGAGGAGGATCAAATGGAATAGAGTATGGTATGCAAAGATCTTGCCCATGATAGATACTCAATAAATGTTACTTCTGGGCTGAGAGAAAAATGGACTTAAAAGAAGAAATTACATGCTATAGTCATCATTATATAATGGCCCGTGTCCCAGAAAACTAGTATGGCAGCTAGCAGGGCCCAAACTTTTGCTGTGTGCTTAAAAAAGACTACCAGATAATCTGCTCTGCCCCAGTGGTAGGAAGTCTCATGAAACCATCATCCATTAGCTCATAACCTCACTAGCAAAAAGCAACTCTACTCTAGTGCCCAGAAGTGCACCAAACACTGCAGTTGGAGTGTTACAGTGTGGTGGGGAGTGTGGGTCTGCCACAAAACTTCTGGGGTTCAGCTGTGCTGTTTAAACCTTGCTGCACCTTAGTTTCTTCATCTGTAAAATGGGGCTGATACCAGCACTACCTCATACGGCTGTTGTGGGGATTAAGTGAGTACATGCGTGTGGGTTTACCACCACACTTGCACATAGCAAAGGCTCAGTACAGCTTAACTTTTCAAAAACCAAGTATATAATAAAAATGTATTCTTTGCTTTCTGATGTGGGATTTTCTTTTTGAAGTTCTCATGCATTTTGAAAAGGAAAAATACCTGTCCAGTCAATGAATTCTAAAACTGGTTTCCTTCACCAGGATAAATCCCTGAACGCACGGTAACACAACTGTGAGGGCTGGCTGTCAAGTAACACGAAAAACCGTTTTTGTCGTTCTGAACATAGAGGTTTCATAGGAATTGATAGTGATGGATATACTACCACTAATGAAAATACAACTTTTGATGACAAATATCTTACGGGTATTTCTGAAAAAACAAACCAGTTCAGACTACTACTATGTGTGTATTCCCAAAGAGCATGATTCTTCTACTTTCATATAAGGTTAAGAATAAAGAATATTCTTTCCTGACTTTAAATAATACTGATTACTGAACCACTCTGCCCAGTCCTTTTTCCTAAAGTACTTCCACGCACTACTGAGCTGGCAGTGCTGTGTGGGCTGAGGGATCTTTTAAAATTGCCATTGGCCTCTCTCCGCTGTCAGGGACCAGAGAATGGGGCAGTCTGCCACCTTTCAGAAACAATCCTTAGAAACTTTCCTCCTTCATAGCTAGCGAGAGAGAACAGTCTCAAATTAAAAAATTACTGAAGAATAGACAATAGTCTCTCCCGACATCAGAAAAGTTCTGTTCCTTTGCCCTGACTGGAGTGCAGTTTCCTCTCCGTGCAAACCTAAGAGGCAGTCCAGGTGCAAGACCGCAAGGTCGCAGCCCTGTGCCCGTGGGACTGACTGCACAGGCCTGCTGCTCCTGCTGCTCAACACCCCTCTCCTCTCGCCTTCCCACCCAAATATGCCGCTTTGAAGTTCTGGGTACCGGATGGATTAACACAGACAGACCACATCCCTTTCTCTAAAGGACGGAACATGTAGTGAAAATACAGCTTTTATCTAGGGAATCTGTCTGTCATCTATAGGATTCTAATCACAAGTCACTATTAAACTTTTCTGGGAAACCTCCAAAGCTCCCTCTCTGAAAGCTCCCTTTGATGAGTTTGGACAGATGAACAGGAGGTGACATGCAGGTGAGTCTCACCTCCTGTCACACAGCCAGTGCCTGTGGACTAAGACTGGTATGGGGATGAAAGGTATCTCCTATCCCTGTTTCACGCAAATGTGACTGATCCTACAAGATCCATACAGTATATATTTAAGGGACTGAGGAAAAAGTGATATTCTGTAGGTACCCAAGATTTTAAAATCCAAATTTCCACTGAATGTAAATGCAAACAGCCGATTTCCCAAAGCAGAATGTGTTACATTTGCCTCACAATAAAGAAAAATAATAAGGCATGGTATGTGCTGCTTTTCAATTAGTTTATTTATTCATTAACTTCTTTTTGTCACATTTAATGTACCTATTGGGATGACTTTGTTCATTTTCTCTTAGTCTCCATCAGTTGCTTCCCCTCTGGATGGATATCTCTTCCCTGTATGCATAAATGTTCACTTTTCTCTAAACATCATTTTTTTCCTTTGAAAAATGATTTCGGAGCATATACAACGTGCCTGGCCCTGGGCTAAATGCTGGAAATACAATATCCGATGGGACCAACTTTCAGCTCAGGTGCCCTACTCAGCCTAGTTTACGATACAATGTAAAAGTGGCCCTTTTCTGCCAGACATATTCATCCAGTTATTCAATAACTCATTGATTTACCGTGTGTATAAATTTAATTTTGCACATATAACATGTGAGCTGCTGTCCCAAAACCCCTGTGAAGCAGGCATTTGTTTTCCACAAATCACACTTTAGAAAATACTGCTTACCCGTGCAAAGTGAAATATGCCCATGTACTGTTTTTTCAAGTTTTCACTGAGATAGTACTAATTTTGAAGATACTAAATCATGTCTTCAAAGTACATATTTCTAAATTTTGACCTAGAAAAATACTTACAGATTTAGTACTGCCTTCAATAACTTCTTCTAGAGGTTCGAGTTTGAGATCCTTCAGTTAGCGGAAGAAATGGGGAGAACCAGAAATTAGTTAATTGAACAAAACACATTTGAATAGAAGCACTTTTGGGATAGCACTGAACCAAAAGAACTTTGTGACCTGAAAGGAGATGAAATAATTCTGATTTCCGTAAGTAAACGACTCCAAAAAAATTCTTTTATCATTGTGCCAATTGTAAGGAGCCATTTCAGATGTGCTCAGCTTGTTCTTGCTTTGAGTGTGCCTCACTGATGCATTTAAAGAGAACGAAGTGGAGAGAAGATTCATTAAAGCAGAGACAGAAAGGCTAGAAACAGTGAAAATAAAGAGTTCCGATGACTAGGCTGACTTCTTTTGCTGGGGGTAAATGTGGCCATATACTTAAGATACCATGATAGACACTTACACTCTGGTGCTAAGTTTGCTTTGTTAAAAAGTGAAATAAAAAGCAAATGAATACACTGTTGGTATTTGTTAAAAATAAAGGACTACTAAACAGACCTTAGAGTTTTCTGCAGTGACCAGTGTCTAACGCTAATGTTCCTAGTGAAACCAAGCATGTAATCCCTGAGCACTTCGTTCTAAGGACATACATCCTTGAGAGCGACGTCACCAAGATGGCGACCTAGGCTGTTTCTGGCTTTGCTCCTCTTCACAAGAACAACTAACAACCAGTAAGAACAAGATCCCCCTGAGAGAATCTGGAACAATGCTCCAGCACCCTTCTGTACCACAGAGACCAAGACAGTCCCAGTAGAAGGTAAGAGAAGTGGCTGCATGCTGACAGCACTGCCCTCCCCCAAAGCCAGCACAGCACCACCTGGACAGATCTTCCCTGAGCCTCTGGTTCCTTCAGCGGGAAGGGAGCCCAAGGGGGACAACTAGCCCCGCCCAGCAGTGTGGTCACGTTGTGAAAGCCCCTACTCTGATCCTGCGTCACAGGATTGCAGAGAAGCCCTGGGTGGGGCTCAATCACTCAGGGGAATCCGACTATGGCAGAGAAGGGGCAACAGCCAGCGCACAGATCTTGGCAGACCAAGCTCATGCCACAGTGCCCAGGCGGTAATCCCAGTCAGCAGCTTTGCTCACCTGCAGAACCAAGCTGGGGACCCACTCTTAACTAGGGAACTTGGCAGAGTGTGCATCTGCCTGATTCAGATCCTCAGAGGAGGAGTTTTGTCCGCGAAAGGGCCCAGTTTGCCCACACCCAGGCAAGGAGCTGAATCACATCCCCACTCACCGTAGGGAACGTCTTCCAGGCCCATCTTACCAGCAGGGCTGGCAACAGCTCCTGGAAGCAGTGTGGCCCCAGCAGCACTCAAACCAAGAGGTGAGTGAGCAAAGCTGATTACCCTGAAGCAAACCCTGTACCAGGTGTGGAATGTTCCCATGCTATGCACAAGCAGGGGGATTAATTCGCAGCTGAAGGTGACTCCTGGCATCCCCCACTCTGAGAGCCCGTTTAAGAAACAGAATAGCCTGGAGCGAAACTCCCTCCTCCTGCCTAGCTGAGACGTACCTCCAGCTACTGCAGATCGCGTCTTCCAGCTCCATCTGACCAAAACGGCTGGTGACAACTCCTGGAAACTGTGCAGCCCGGTGGTACTTGAGCCAAGAAGCAGGCGGAGTCAACAGTTGGCAGAGCAAAGCCAGCGGCCGTTTTTGGTCAGGGAACTTGGGGTGTGGGTTGGCTTGAGTTAAAACAACAAAGAGCTTTACCAGCTTTAGAGATTCTTGTCCCGCTGCACCCAAGCAAGGAACCTAATTCCTAGCCCTGCTCTCGCTGAATGCAGCCTTCAGGCTGTGCGAGCAGGGAACTAACCAGAGCACACCGGAAGCTGCGTGGCTCACGCACAGCCCTGCGCACGGTGGCACCTGAATAGGAAGCACAGCCCATGGCTTCCCCCACCCGCAGAGCAAAACCGGTGGCCTTCCCTGACCAGGGACTTCAGTGCACACTTGGACTAACTTGGGTCCCCAAACAATGAGCTGTTGAGGCCCCGAGCCCATCCTGCTGCCCTGCCGGGGCACAGAAGCGGACTCACAGCCCCATTTACTGCTGGATACAGTACCCAGTCCCTACCATCTAGGAAGCCTGGCCAGGCAGCCATGGATCCCATCCTACAGCCTCAGTTGGGTGCGGAACCAAGCCAACAGTTGTACTCGACAGTTCTCAGCCAGTGGCACATCCCCTATCCCTGTCCTTTGAGCTCAAACAATTGCCTTGCCCCAAAATAAAGCTAACAGCAGGCCCCACCTGCCCAAAAACACTACTGGCAGAGATGCCCAGAAACCCAAACGGTAACTGTCTCTGAGAAAGCCAATCTGTAGAGTCTGGAAGAGGAGCCCAACTAATCAAGTGCACAGACAGCACTGCAAGGAATCCAGGATCGTGAATAACCAGGTAAATATGGCATCACTAAAGGAAACTAATAAAGCTCCAGTAACCGGCCCTAAAACAAACGAACACCTATGAAGTGGCAAACAAAGAGGGCAATATAATTCTCCTAAGGGAGTTTATTTAACAGTAAGAAAACAGGCAACTACACAAAACTGGAGAAACAAAGGATGAACAAAATGAGAAGTTTGACAAGGAAATAGCAACCGTCAAAAAACAAAACCAAGCCGAACTCCTAGAGATGAAAAATACTATAACTGAACTGAAAAATCCGACAGTTTCAAAAGTAGAATCAAACATGCAAAAGAATCGGTGAACTGAAAGAAAAGACACTGGAAATTACCCAGTCAGAGGAGCCAAAAGAAAAAGAATGAAAAAGAGTGAAGAAAGCCGATGGGAATTTGGGAGACACTGGAAAGAAACATTATTCCCATTGTGGGAATTCCAGAAGGAGAAAAGAAGAGACAGAGAGTCTGCTTAAAGCAATAATGGTTAAACTTCCAGAACCCTGGGAGAAATATGAACATCCAGATCCATGAGGCCCAAAGGACCTCAAGTAGGTTGAACCTAAATTGGGTTACACTCAGACACATTATAATTCAATTGTCAAAAGTCCAAGGGAAAGAAAGAATTGTATGGGCAGTAAGAAGAGAGAAGCTACATACAAGGTAACCCCCATAAGATTATGTAAGCTTCATGGCAACCACAAGGGCAAAGCCTGCAGAAAGTATTCAACAGAACATGATATAGGAGCCAAAGCACACTGATACCCAAAGACATCAACACACATGCACACACACAAGACAGCAGGACGAGACACAAGGAACAACAGATCACAAAACAACCAGAAAGCAATTAACAAAATGGCAATAGTAAGTCTATAAATAATTACTTGAAATGCAAATAAATTCTCCAATTAAAAGGCAGAGAATGGCTGGGATGAAAAAACAATATCTAATAATATGCTGCCTACAGGAGACTCATATTATTTGGGTGTGTGGTAATTAGGTTTATTTATTTATTTTTTTAGTGGAGGCACTGAGGATTGAACCCAGGACCTCATGCATACTAGGCACATAGTCTACCACTGAGCTATACTTTCCCCTACGAGACTAATTTTAGCTTTAAAGACACATACAGATAGTAAAGGGATGGAAAGAAACATTTCAAGCAAATAACAACAAAGGAGAGATAGCTATACTTAGGGAAAATTGATTCTAAACTAAAAATGGTAAAAAGGGACAAATGAGGTCACTATATAATTATAAAAGGGTCAATACATCAAGAAGATATAACAATTGTAAATATTTATGCAACCAACAATGGAGTACCTAAATATATAAAGCAAAAACTGACAGAGCTAAAAGGAGAAATAAACAGTAATACAATACCAGTTGGGGACTTTATTACCCTACTCTTAACAATGGATAGATCATCCAGACAGAAAATCAGGAAGGAAACAGCACATTGAAACAACACTACAGACTAAATGATCCTAACAGTCATATACAGAGCATCCTATATGACCAAAGCTGAATATACATTCTTTTCAGGTATACAAGGAACATCTTCTAGAGCAGACCCAAGTGTTAGGCCATGAATCAAGTCTTAGCAAATTCAAGAAGACTGAAATATACCAACTATCTCCTGTGACCACAATGGTGTGAAACTAGAAATCAATAGTAAGAGGAAAGTGGAAAATTCACGTACACATGGAAGTTAAACAACACTCTACTAAACAACCAATAGATCAAAGAGGAAATTAAAGAGGGAATTTAAGAGAATTTTGAGACAAACAAATATGAAAACACACCAGAACTTGTGGGATACAGCAAAAGCAGTTCTAAGAGGGAGGTTCACAGCAATAAACACCTACTTAAGAAATAAGAAAGAAAGTTCCCAAATAAACGACCTAACTCTACGATTTCAGGAGTTAGAAAAAAGTAGAACAAGCAGAGCCCAAGGTTAGCAGAAGAAAAGAAGTAATAAAGATTAGAACAAAAATAACTGAAATAGGGAACAGAAAGACAACAGAAAATATTATCCAAAGTAAGAGTTGGTTCTTTGAAAAGGTAAACAAAATTGACAAACCCTTAGCTAGACTAACTAAGGAAAAAAGAGAATGTACCCAAACCAACAAAATTATAAATGAAAAAGAAGGCATTGTTACTGATACTACAGAATTTAAAGGATCATAATAGGCTACTATGAGAAACTATAGTCCAACAAACTGGATAACCTAGAATAAATGGGGACGTTCTTAGAAACATATGACTGACCAAGACTGAGTCAGGAAGAAATACAAAATCTGAATAGACCATTTACTAATAAGGAGATTGAATCAATAATCAAAAACCACCCAACAAACAAAAGCCCAGGACCAGATGGCTTCACTGGTGAATTTTACTAAACATTTAAAGAAGAATTAACACCAATCCTTCTCAAACTCTTCCAAAAATAGAAGAGCAGAGAGCACTCCCAAACTCATTTTATGAGGCTCGCATTATTTTGAGACTAAAACTCAGAAAAGGACACCACTAGTAAGGAAAGTTACAAGTCAGCACCCCTGATAAACATAGATGTAAAAATTCTCAATAAAACACTAGCAAACCAA